GTCATGAAATATTCAACAACAAAATCAGGAACATTAAAAAAAATACTTATAAATATTTCTTTCGATTGATTTCTATTAATTATTACAATAATTTGTTTTCCATGTTCATAATTCATTTGATTTTTGCTTCACTTCAGGGACGTTCAGGACTGTTCATTTCATTTATCGAACTCGCATATCTCGGAACAACGATTGCAGAGAGCATGATTCTTTGAGAACACACCAAAGTAAAAGAGGGCGAAAAATATTTGCTTGAAGGGTATTGATTTTCTCGAAGAGTGATGCGATCTGAATGTACATGCGTTAAGCATAAAAGTTCAGAAAAATTCAGAAATGGCAATTGGCTCCGGCTATGGAGCGTATTTTCTAGCTTCTCGAGGAACCGACAATATTCGAACGCTTGAACGTAGATATACCTCAATAATACGAACGTTCCACTTCCAGAAATGTATACATGCATACTAAACATGCATACGTTTACACACGTGTTTGCGTACATACACGTATTAGCGTATTTCTTACTTGTAGAAAATTGCGCAGCAAGAATTTGCATCGGCAAATTAAACTGTCGTTAACGAAATCAGTAACAAAATTAGATCTCAGTGAGAGACAATGATATTTCGAATTTTGGTAATGTAAACAGAAAATATTTATAATAAAAATATTTATAAATAAGATTGCAATAATCAGACATAAGCAAGTAAGGAATATTCTAATACACATACCTACATACATACACAAACACACACACATATACAACAAACACATACGGCATACGTACGTACATACGTGATACATATATATTAGGATATAAGGATTCAAAGATCCAATGATCTAAAGATTGAATGCTTATATCCTTGGATTCTTCGCCCTAAGTTCTTCGATTCCCCAGACCGTTCAGCTTTTACGTTAAGAAATATTTTTATTATCAATCTTCTTCGTTCCGTGAGTGCTCACCTCTTTGAAAATTCTCAGTTTTTCCACGTACTTAACAATCCTCAAATCGCTGAACATTTTAATCCGTGCAGTCTTTAGATCCTTTTAAGTAATCCTTTTAAACCTGAAACACACGAAAGATATTCCTAACGCGTTGTTATATTTGACAATTTTTAAATTCATATAGCAAGGCATTCGGCGATTGAAGATCCAAGGATCCAAGCATCCGTTTACGTTACCGTATACTCACACGTCGCATAGAGCAGGGCATAAATGTAATCTAAGCTTCGTTATTTTTATGATCTCAATTATCGTAGTCGAGAACGAAGTTTTTATCACGACCCTTTAACCGGTGAACCGGACGCGATTCTTTTGCGCCAAAAACAGATACCTGCAATGAAATTGCTGATAAATTTCGATATATCATAGGATAAATTGTATTGTATCTCGAGAGTGATACTCGCAATGGATCGCTGAAGTTAACGCAATATTAAATTAAGGACTTTTTAAGGACAGAGCGCGCGCACGCATGGGCGGGAAAAATTTGTTCTTTACCTATAGTTTTCGGCGTATAATATGCGGTAGAATATACTAAAGAAAATAAAAAAGAAAAAGAATACGTGATGAATAAGAGCGAGCTTGGGATTACTGGTTAAAGGGTGATTTGACCGAGAGTAACAAGCTGCTATTCCGTTTCCGGAGAACCGTTTGGTTAGCCAGATGCATTTAACAGGTAGTCAACGATATTCCTTTCTAATTTATGGAATGATTTTCATTTGTACCCGTTTCGAAGAAAGAAATGCGTATCAGAAGCGTGCATGTGTGTATGTATGCGTGAGAGAAAGATAGAGCGCTCGAGAGAAAGGGTAGACCAAAGATGCAATCTCGAGAAAGAGAGAGAAACCGGTGTAAATATGTAAAATAAAGTGTTCCTGACGTAAACGCACAGAAAATCGTCAGAAAGCATAGTTCCAACAAGCGGCAATTTCACACGAGAGTTCTCTATCGGCCGTCCCGTTTCTCTTATCCTTCCTCATCATCGTATCAAATTCTCGGGATACCGTGGAATAAATTGGAAAAAAAATCTTCTTTTTAATAAAGCCGTGTTCGGATATCTACTATCATGAAAATCTATAGTATATATAGAGCTTGCGGTACATAATGGATTTTTTCCTGCTAGATTGCAATTTCTAGTAATTTACTAAAATGCAAGCAATCCAGCAGGAAAAAATGCATCGTGTATCACAGACTCAACATAAAATATGTATCTATAAAATTGTACAGAGTTGAAAAAGTTAACTTTATAAATTGACTTTTAGTTTACCTTATGTTTATTTGTTACGGAGAGAAATTAAGTATAAAAATAATACAAAATTGGAACAAATGATAAAATTTAATATAAAAAATAAAATATTAGAATTTATTGTACTCAATTTCTGTAACAAAAAGTAACTTATAAGTAACTTGTGAAATAACTTTCCCAACACTGGACTTCATCAGTACTAGCAGTACTAGTAGTATTTGGATGCTTTCCAACACATGACACAGTATGACATAATGCATCATCACATCCTTGTTGTTTGCCAATGTTAAACAAAGATGAAATGACCACTGTGTTGTATTGAGTCATTTGTTGAAAGACTTTATAATATCAGAACAATAAATGCTTAAATAAATATGTGTTGGACTCGGATTCCCGAGATGCTGCGGAAGAAAAATCACATTTTCATCCATTTCTGTCAATGTAGCTTAACTTTAATCTGGTTTAATTTATTCTTTATCCTCTTCTAATTCGTAAAACTAAAAAAAAAAGTTAAACCAAGATTACAGTTAACATTGGTAAAAACGGATATTAATAGTCAAACGACAGCAACCGTGTGTTTAAAACCAAGTACATATTAGCAGTAAATTAGGCACAAGATCCCGTTTGATGATGGACATTTAAATATAAATATTCAAGAATTATTTTTAACTCGATGTCTAGACGCTGGTAAGTGTTTTACAGCTATTTCTACCAAAATGTAAATTAAATTTCATCTCAGTTTAATATTTACTTTCTAATTTTTATTTAATTCCAAGAACTAGAATAAAATAATTAAGACTTTTTATTCTGCTCCTCAAAATCAGAAAAAAGATAAAAAACCAATTAAACCGAAATGAAATTAATACTTTACATTAATAGAAATTAATAGAAATGTAGACATTAATCTTAGGACGATTTTCGAAACTCGTTTTAACGTAATCAGCGATTGTATATACATATATAATTCAACTGGTAGAATCGTTTATTACAAAAATTCCACCTGCATATTCATTGTTTCAAATCCAATTTTCCTTTCTGTATACAAACGACAAAAGATTACCTATTGTATTCACATTAGCAACGTTACAAGTACTTGACCTACTAATCGCTGTAAGTTGATCAGGAGTTTAGTCGAGGTTATAATCCCTTAATCAATTTACTTTAATCAACATCCCTCGTAATTACAGTCAATTAAGAGTAAGTTACTTTATACTACTGATTAATAAAATTACCTTCGCGAAATAATCGAACGATCCTGAGACTCGCGCAGATTCCTTCTTGTTCACAAAGTAACGGTCGCGATCGTGATTGGTCAGCACTGTCAGCAGATTGGAGACCCTCGAGAAGTGCAGATAACGGATTTTCAATTTTCATAGCGCGCGCGGTAGTTGTCGGTACTTCATCAGTGACGATCGGTAATGAGGGAGGCGCGGTAAAATATGTATGTACTTGCATGAGATAGAACAGGTAGATAAAATGTGCTCGCGGATAAGTAAGATCGATACTTGGATCGAAGTCGTAGAAGTGACAACGCGACATCGCGAAACCGTTCAAAATTTTCGACAATAAAGGCGACTTCACTTTTAATTGACTCTAATTAACGACAATTGATTCAACTGGCAGAATCCACTTAAATGGATCGAATCTTGAATTTGTATAATTCTTAATCCGCTCGATTTTTTTTACATACATATATTTCAAAGAACGAAAGATTTGTTTATTATAAGATATTATCCTAGCCATCGTTAAAGGTGAAGGTGACATCTCTCGTTAATCACCGATTAAATTTGGTCGAATCGTCGCTGAGAAGTGCTGAGAAAATCTGAAAGGCTTCGACCTTTAATTGAAAATTTCAATTAATCTATTGGGTCATCTAAAAAGTATCCGCGGTTTTTTGTCACTAGATGTGTGTTGATGGTCATATATCTAGTGACAAAGTACCGCGGATACTTTTTAGATGACCCAATATATATCTGATACTTTATCAATGTGAATAGGATATATTATCTTTTTATCATTTTATGCGAAAAGAAAGATTAATTCAGGAATGATGAATCGTAATTTTTGATTTATTGTGAATAATTTCTACCAATTGTTTATTGTATCTTGCCTTTTTGCTTCTTATCCCATTTTTCATTTTCTGTTGCTCGAGATAAACGTCAACTTCAGAAGAAATAAAAAACACATATCAAGAAATGCAATTGTTAATAAAACGATCGCAAAGAGGAAAAAAATAAAAGGTAAAAAGCAAGAAACAGAAAATAAAGAGCACATTGTAGAACAACCATAAGAATAAAACAAAAATCAAGAACAAGTTCCAAAAGAGATTAATTGATAAAATCCGAGATTAATAAAAAAGTAAGTAAAACCGAGATAGTTAATCTATATTAATAAAAGTGAATATGCAATATAATAAAAATTGCGATTTGTCCTGAATTAATTTTTTTTTCACAGATTACTCTACATTGGCAAAAATAGACAACAAAAATTTTGTTACGAATAACTATCGATTGTATTAATTTGAATTTTATCGAAGTCGTCCTCTATCGCTCAATCAATATAACTAATCAATATAACTAATTGGAAATCTCTAAGTGAAGGAGCTTCGGGGAAAAAATCATGAAGTTTTCCGAAAAACAAATGATTTTAATCATGCATAGGTATATTTCACAATAAAATTAAGACCGCGTATTCAGATAAAATTAATAGCGCCTCGCGGAAAATTCTCTAGATAAATATAAACATACGGCGTTCGAATACAAAAAAAAAATGAAATTTCTAAAACTTAGAAAATGAAAAAACAGATGGAGCGACAGCTGAGGAATTCAAATTGTTTATCAAGACGTTCGAGGAGGGTCCAGCCCGGCCAGCCGGGCGTCCAATCACGTTTCCAACGAACGAATGTGAAAGGAAGACGGGTGCCGTTCATTTTTCAAGGTATGAGGTATCTTTGCACAGATCTGGCAGTATCATCGGGCAAGCGCTAACCGGGTCGACTGCATCGCACATCGCACGGCGTCGACGGCGGCGCTCACTCGCTACGTTACGCTCGCCTGCCGTCTGCCGCGTAATCGGCGGGAGGAGAGGCGCCGAGCTCGAGGTGGCGCGTGTCCGGGTAGTGCAGTCTACCGTTGACCGTTAACCCTCTCGGACGCGGAAGGGTGCGTACGGTACAGTGCTTCGCGATTTTATTCCTCTCGTCATTCGATCACATTCGATCGTGTTACTTCTCTTGCCAGCTCTCTTCTCATCCAAGGAGGAAAGTCCATTGAGGGACATTATCAGTGCGTTATCCATCCATCTCCGGGGGAGTCTCGGAGGTTTATCTTCCGTTTTTCCACGATGAACGGAAACGCGAGGAACGAGCGGCCAACCGCAGACGACATCGATGCCGCTTCCCTCAGCGCCGACATTCTCAACCCCTTCGTGCATCGACTCGAGCTCGGCTCGACCTACGAGAAGCTCAAGGTCAGTATCTCTCGAAAAACGGCTTCTTTCCCCGGGATCGATGCTTGTGCAGTCGCGTTTTAGGGGATGCCGCCACCGCTGCCGCCGACGCCACCACCGCCGGCGAGATTGGCGAGAAATGGGTGTGCTTCGATCGCGGTGCCGAGAAAGTGCGCGTGAGTGTTGAAATTGCTTCGCAGGTTACATGGAATTCGCAGGTCGTGTTCGTACGCGATTGATGGAGCTGAGAGGCGACGGTAATGAACATTTACAAAATAAGTCGGACATGATGCGAGTCGCATATGATGCAACTTATGAAATAATAATTCTTTGGAAAAATCATTGAAAAACCTGTATTTTTCTCCAGTGATTTAAATTTATCAATGTGGTCTAATTTTAATCTCTGTTCAACTGATTCTCATATTTTTTTTTAATTCTGAGAATCAGAAAAAGATGAAGAGTAAGTTGAATCGAGATTGAAACATTGATAGAAATCGACAATAATAACATACTTTAAGGACTTTCCAATTAGTGAGACAAATCAACACAAACATCAAACTATCTTGACATTTAGAGAGGAACAAAGATAGAAAAATTTATATCGACTTGTGTCATCGAATAAAAAGCATTCTTTATTGGCGCAGTATTGCTTCAGTTATCTCTAAAACTGAACCAGTGTATAAATTGTTACTAGGGCGAGTTGTAATAAGTGTAACGGCACGCATAATCTAAACGTAAGAAATACAAAAATACATAATAATTATCATTGTTATATAAGATTTTACGATTTCAGACTGTGGCGAAATAAAAATGCAGGAGTAATATAACGCGAAAGAAAACATTCGCGGCCGAAGAGAGATATTGCGAGGCACACAGGCCGGTTTTTCTTCAAGTTGGTCGCGGCGCGACTTTCACGGCGCAGCGGGAATCGGCCAGGTCGTGCCAATTTTGCGTCTATTACATTCGACGTTCTGTCATTTTTCTACAAAGGGATTTGCAGCCGTTTTCTGTCATGTGGTCCATCAGGCGTATACGCCTCGCATGTATAATTTCCGCCCCACTTTCCTCGGCACGTTGTCGCGCCGTTGGGTTTCCAACGAAACACTATACGAATGTTAGTCACGTGCGTTAACCATGAACAAGGTCATCACGAACGATCACAGCACGTTCACTCGACTTAGATGCTTCGATGCTTAATAATTTAAGAAAACTTGGCATAATATACTGTGATATTTTTGTTTGATTGTCGAACGTGCATATCATGATTTTTCAAAAGCTTCCTGTTTACTCTGGCAGTTGAAAACGTGTCAATTTTGACATTTACAAAACACACTTGTTTTTACATATACGTATATCGATCTGTTTACAGATGTCTTTAATTCAAAGGACCAAAAATTTAAACTCGCATTTATCAGTTGGATTATTTAAGATTAAGAAACAGGAAATGATTTTCGTACTCATTAAACTCGTTTCTTCGTGTTCCAGTTTAGACTTTGTTGCGAAAAACGAGGTCGTCGATGTTTTTTATCTACATATTTTTCCAACCATTAAAATTGCAGCCTACGCTTTTCTAACCGTTAACACGATGCGAATAGCGGCTCCTTCGTGGACCGATGCTTTCTCTTGTTAAAACACCAGTGAGGTCTTGAACGCGTAGAAAGCCTCGCATTCTATATAGATGTGATGAAGTGAATGAAGAACATCGTTCTAACGGGATTTAAACTGGAATATCATTTCGAGAAATTGAGAAAATCGATAAAATTGTATCGCATATTCTTTTATTTATATTACCTTCGCTTTCTTTTTACTCTCTCTTTTTACTCTAGATACATTTCACATAAATAAGCAAATGTTTTGAATAATTACAGGTTGTACACATTAATATTACCAAGATAGTTGCATTCAAAAAAAGCAGCTCAATAAACAACGTTTATTAGTACTATTTAAATTTAGAAGAATAATTTTATTTTTTTAATCCTAATGTTACACGTTAATGTGCAATTATCTAACGCGATAGCGCAATAGCCCTTAGAATTTACAGTTATATCCGTGACAACTTTCTAAGCAAAACTTAGCACACGATACGTAGAAGGCTTCTTCGTTACTATTTATATGGCGTTATTAGTCAGAGAGAACTCGAATCGAATGTTCTTATTTTTCATTAAAAATTTTGCTTCTTATTTTAATATCTACATGCGAATTTAATTTTTTTTTCTCTAATCGCTGACCCAATTTTCTTTTTGTTTATAATAGAATTATGTTATAGTAATCGCATGCGATCAGAATCAAGAATAATATTTATTTCACAACATATAAATTTGATAGATACATTCTTAGTAGAGGCCACTCGACTTATTTTTGTATATCACACATACGGCATATCAGTCTAGAGTTCTCTTCAACAAGATAAAGTGAGATGGGATGAAATATAGCTAAAGGCTGATATGCGCCTAACGGAACAGCGAAACGTAACGAACGGTACTTAACTTGTATCCTATTTTTTTTTTACTCTTTATTCTTTCTTTCTCTTTCTTTTCACGAAATATATCGAAGCCTTCTGATGGACACGTCGCAACCTTGACCGCGTGAGACAGACGATAAGTTAATCTGAGAGCCAATTACTTACTTACTGTATGACCCATTTTTATGAACATGTGGTAACTACAAGGACAGTTGCTTTAACAAATTTTTAATGTGTAGTGTCTGAAACTTCCTTGTATATTTTAAGGATTAATACTTATATTTAGAATAGAAATATATTTCATTATTAAAATTTAAAGTAATTTAGTTGTATGTTTATCGACTTAACTAAAACAAAGATCTTCGCATTTATGAATAAAATATCAAACTTGTTTATTTGAACATTGTTTACAACAAACTTGTTTATTTCACAAACTTATTTATTTCAATTTTTGTGATAAATAATCAGAATATATAATTAAATTCAAAGTCGACGTGTAATGTTTTTTCTTAAAGAATTATTTAAAAAATTTTATTTGAAAAATGACTATATAATAAACAAATTGAATTTGTTTTAATTTAATAATCTTAATTGAAATATATTAAACTTCACTAGGATTCTCTCAGAATACATTTTAAATAAATTTGATGTTTGTAATGAACATATAGATTTGCAGATATAACTTTTGCAATATTTGAAGCAAGTAGTTAATGTTTAAATACATTACATATTTTTTCGGTGTAAATATAGGAATTTAATCAATTTTCAAAAAAATTGACGCGATGATGTTTTTGATGTTTCAGACAATATTCTTAACGATCGCCCTTTTGCCGGTCAGGCTAGCTGCAATCACGACTTTGATGATCCTAGCGTGGCTATTGGCCTGCCTTGGACTGCATGGATTGTCCGAGGAGGATCTTCGGCGAGCTCCTCTCAAAGGATGGAGGCGGTATGTTTGAAGGAAACTAAGTGGTGGGATAATTGCGGCGAGAAAGTACGATCCTCTTCCGTACTCTTTCATTCCTTACTCCTTCTATATTCCTTCCAATTCCGAGTCCTATCTCTATATCATGCTATTTATGTTAACACTAGCTATACCTTTCGGGATTGCTTTTTAATCTCTGTGCTGGTATCATCTCGCTTTATTAACAGATCGACCTCATTTAGATTTTAAATGTATTAATCGCACTCAAAGATCCTCAAATCTAGAACTAAACTTTTCGTATTTCTAAAATTATTACGTCTAAAAAATATTTATATATTATTTAATATTTAATATTTATATAATATTTATATATTATTTATTAATACTTATAATTATATAAGTACCGTGAATTAAAGTAATTATACAAACAACAAGTAATTATGCTATAATAAACCCGGTAGATCTGAATTAAACGCACGATTTAGAGGTCGTATCTCAAGGCAATGCAATTGCACAGTGGGCTTCGGCTGTCCATAATAAAGAGAGAGAAAGAGAGCAAATATGTATTAAAAATACATATCCTTCCGTAGACAAGGTTTCCGCTTTATGATGTCCTTGTCTGCAATTTTATTATTAAAACTTCTTGTTATTAAAACGTTTCTCAGTTTTCTTGTAATTAATCAGAGACTTGAAATCTTACAGATAATTCACCTTGCATTTTCTGAATTTTTAACTCAGGTATCGATTAATTTCAAGTATCTTAAATTTATAATTGTCGAAGTGTCAATATTATGCAATAAAAGTTATTCTCTATGTTCATTAAATACCTACGAACAAAGTGATTAGTTGATAATAAAGTTGCTTTGTATTTATATTTTTTTCATAATTTAGTCATGCATTACTGTCAAGGTCAAGAAAAGTCTATAAGACGACCTTGTATCATAAAGCTTATGACGGAATCAGAGAGAAGAAATATTTCTAGAATACTTTTAACTGAAATTGCTTACAGTGGTATTGCAAGTTGTTAAATTATTCATGAGGCGGATACTTGTTTGAGTTTATATGTTTTATTTTAATTAAAAGCAGTTATGCTGCATTATTAATTAATTTGCATATAGAGTATTTTTAGAGGTGTTTTCTAAGATTTAAATATAATACATATTATTAATTATTATTAAATATAATACATATTATTAATTTTCATAGCATTTGCATCAAAATAACAGCGAGAACTTAGTTGCGCACCTAATATTTTTAAATATTTTTTGAAGTTCTCTGAACGTATCTAAATTTAAGGATCTCTCCATGAGCTGAAAATGCAAATCGATTTATTGAAATGAGTCTTTGATAGACTTCTAACTAAACCTAATTTTCAAGGAACATTTACATTCCGTTAATCATTTTAGACCCCCTTATAAGAATAGAAATAAAGAAATAAAGAATCGCATCGGACAATAGTGCATGCGCATTGCAAATTAAACCACTTAAAAACAGAGACATGCGCGTCGTGATCTGCTGGATGATGCGGGCGTTATTTCTCTGCGGTGGATTTCATCACCTGAAGGTCAAGGGGCGAAAGGCGGAGACTAAGGATGCACCGGTGCTGGCTCTCGCCCCGCATTCCAGCTTCTTCGATGCACTTCCGGTCGTGTACCTTGGCGGGCCGAGCATCGTTGCCAAAGGGGAAAGTAGTCGTCTCCCTTTTTTTGGAAGTAGGTCGCATTGTCGTCTGTTGGTAATTGATAAGAGAGAAGTCATGCTGTATGTCTTTTTTTTTTAAATATGAAAGATGAAATTTTTAATTTAAGTAAATTTAATTTATCACGTCACTGTGAAACTGCGAAAGAAAACTGTTGATTTTAAGATTAAAGTGCAGTATGACCTCTAAATTTTAAACTAACTTCTCTTCTTGTGGGAACGAAAGATCTCCATTTATACTATAAAATCGCAATAATCTAATAATTTATTTTATTGTACATAACATTTATATGTGCATTTATTATATGTGCATATATGGTGGATGGGATTTATTTTTCAGCTACTAACTATGTATGGTTTTAACAATTATCGTTAACACGGCTTTTATACAGTGTATTTTATTTTATTTGCCATAACTTAAAAATTGCGATTAAACTTAAAAAAGCATTTAGAGCAAAAATTTACTAAATTAAAAATTTTACTAAATTAATCAAATAACACCATTATATCTGTTAACCATTATTCTGATGCATTACTGAGCATGATCTTATAAATTTTATAAAGTTACATTGTGCATAATGTTATCTAAAAGCTATAGGTCAAGCTACATTACTTGTAGAAACTAACAATAAGATGGTTTGGTACGCATATTATATCAGTGAGACAAAAAGGGAGGAATGTTTGTGTATATATTGGGTCATCTAAAACATCTAAAAACCGCGGATACTTTTTAGATGACCCAATATATATAAAATTTAAATTATTCTGGAGAAGCGCACTAACGATTATCGAAACTTGGATTACTAATCGAACGCTTTCACCGCCTTTTTGTTCCTTTTCTTTCCATTGCTCAATGGCGTAGAAAGTTCATCGGACATACTCGCTCGTGAACGTATCCTTCTTTCGTAGCACGATTTGAGTTATACTCTTGGCTCTTGCGATATTCCATGTTCTTTTCGTGGTGATACTGTCAAGTCGTGGATACGTTTTTACCGGTATCAATATTTAAATACTTGGAGATCCAGTATCCAGTATTGGAGTGATTCCATGTACCTTGTCGGTTGAAACCCGCAGAAAATTAGTACCATGGATATGTTTCGTGGGCCGACTCACTTACCAGGCCGGCGGAATGAAAATCGTAGTCCGAGGGAAACAGGCTTCCAGAACGGAAGCTCCGATTCTGGTCCTCGCGCCGCACTCGACCTTTATTGACGGCGGCATCGTTTACGTCACCGGATTTCCTTCAATCATCGTCAGGCGAGAATCGGGATTGAATCCGTTTATAGGAAGTAGGTGATACATTCCTGTTTCTTTTAATTTTTTTCTGTATATCTTCTACGAATTTCTAATGTTAATATAATATAATTTATTATTTTATTTAAAATATTCAAGAAATTACTTCTTATGACATTGAATACTTGTACGTGATTAGATTTGAGCCAAGTAAAATAATGATGATGTCAAGGTCAAGATATACTGAAGTTATTGGAGGTCATCGAGATGTGTGCCATACGTGAAATCCTTTTAAATAAAAATTTAAGTCACAAACATCATTGGCATTGTTTACAAACACAGGACTGTGTTCAGAAACTGTTTTACCCGGGTGTACTTAGGTATCATTTTAACTTAGGTATCCTTATTTAACATTCAGTGATCAACAAGAATAAAATGATATACCCCGCGATTTATTGAACACACCCCGAAAGTGACCATAACAATATTGTCTCAGAATCGCTCAAAAAGATAATTATGTCTAATGTGATACGTATGATATATAGCATATTGTTATTGTTTTACTGTCAGATAACAATGTTAATTAAACATGCTCAATAATTGTCATTATTTTGTGGAGGTCGAATATTAACGATCTTTTACAAAAAAAAATTAATTATTTATATCCTATTTGAAGTAATAGAATTATGTTTTATATTTTAAATTGATTACTGAATCCCATTCACCATTGCATGAGGGATGATTTTGAAGTAGATAATATACTTGTAAGAATTCAGTTACCTAACACTCTGATTGTAGTTCAATGAAACAATGATCCCTTTGCATATGCAAACTTGCAAAATAATCGGTCTCAGTCTTTTGCAAGAATGTTGTAATGAGTTTCCGGTTTTAGATAATTATTGACTGACGGATTTTAAACAATTGATCATGACATGAAATCGTTCACAAGACTTATAAATGTGTTACTTGCTTCAAATTAAGTTCTTATGCAACAAATTCAAAGATTGGTTCAATCAATCCAAATAAAGTCAAGCGAGATCCAAGTTATAATTATCAGTTAGTATTTGTAAAATCGATTATACTTTTCATTATTTTTTAATGTATATAGAACTTATCAACTATACACAGCCGGTCTACGTGTGGAGGGAAGATCCAAATTCCCGACAGAATACTATCAAGGAGATCATTGAGAGAACTACTTCCAAGGAGGATTGGCCACAAGTAAGCAGAATATATTAAACTACTACTAGTAGAGTTACTAATTATTTACTTATTATTAGTAGAGTTTATAGCATATATACGTGTAAGAAATGAGAGAGAGAGAGAGAAAGAGAAAAACTTCTATAAATATATGCATGAATTATTTATAAATAGAATTAACATACTGCATATTTTTAATCTGGCTTGATGTTTACTGATATATATTATGATTTCTTAAGATCTCTTGATCTAGCGTATATATATATATTACGACAGTTGATTTCAAAACATTTCAAATATTTTCTTTAATTTAATACAATTCAAAAAATAAATTTTAATACGATTTATGCGCTTGTGTGACATTTTGTTTCACTTTAGATTCGTCTCCCATTAATAAACAATTAAGAGTCATTCGTATGCAGAACTTGTAAAGATCGAAGAATTGAGTTCATAAAATTCGTGGAAGTAATAATCTTTTATGATTTCGATAATTCATGGATGCAATCAAAACGCAAGCTTGCAATCAAGACACAAATCGCTATCTTCGCATCTACTGATGCAATTGACCCAACTATTCTCCACAGGTTATGATATTTCCCGAAGGGACTTGTACAAACCGGTCATGCTTGATTACATTCAAATCGGGTGCCTTTTATCCCGGTGTACCGGTGCAACCAGTGTGCATCAGATATCCTAACAAATTGGACACGGTAACGTGGACGTGGGAAGGTCCTGGCGCGTAAGTGTAAAGAGAATTATCTTTCTCTTTTTTTTTTAATTATTTATTTGTAATATATTTATTGTAATTTATTATTTATTGTAATATGTTTTATTCGTTGCTTTACATCCGTTGCAGATTGAAATTACTATGGTTGACGTTAACACAATTAAATAGCAGCTGCGAGATTGAGTTTCTTCCTGTATATAATCCAAGCGAGGCAGAGAAACTAGATCCTAAACTATATGCAAACAATGTACGACGTCTTATGGCAGAGTGAGTATTTCATGCACAACGGATTAGGATGCCTAAAAATATATAGATTTCTGGAAAGAATATAATTTCGATTTTACAGGGCGTTGAAAATTCCCGTTTCGGATTACACGTACGATGATTGCCGGATTATTAGAAAGGCTCATCAGCTACATCTTCCGCATGCGTCAAATATCATAAAGAGCCATAAACTTCGGTATAAATTAGGGTAGGTGTCGCATCATAGTATAAATATTATAAGTAATTAATTACAATTTATATAATTTTGATTCATTTATAGTTTAGTGGCATCAAAAACTGAAGAAGAACTCGTCCAGAAGAAGACCTATAATTTTGGTGACGTAAATTTACAAGAATTTGCGCAGATCCTTAGATTGGATGACAAGGATCCAACTACTCAACAACTGTTTCGCATTCATGATAAGGTTCTTATATAATATAAAATTTAAATAATGTATGTAATATAAATATATGAATTAATTTTACAAAAAGAATTTATATGTATATCATTTTATAGTTCGGAAAAGGAAAGATCGATCTTGAAGAATATATTTTCACCGTGTTAGCGATGGCAAACGCGTCTTCGGAACGAGACAAGGTCGAGATTGCATTTGACGTAAGTGCAGACTGTTTAAGAAGTCTACTATGTATATGTATATGGTATATGTAAACTTTTATTTTTACACGATCGAATTATGTTATAGATATGCGGCTCGAAAACAGCAACATGTTTGACCCAATCGGAACTCAGGAAAGCCTTGAGGTTATCGATACGTATGCAGTCTGAGGAATCCGACAGAATCTTTCAACATGCCAGAAGTAACGAGGATGCTTACACAGTGAGCTTTGGTAAACACTTTTGATCACGAGATTTATTTCCTCCCACGATTAAGACTTCTGTTTCTTCATCGCAGTCATATTAACTATCAAAAGAAAGAATTATATATGTATTTATTAATATGTTAGAACAAAAAATGTTTTAGTACGAGCGTTTTTTTTTTGTAAATTTCTTGGGAACGAGTTATCAATTTATTGGGTATGATCCATTTCACGCTGCAAATGCTTTAAAGCATTCTTTAATTGGTCAATTCGTAAAATTCTTTCTTCTTGTTGCCAACTCATTGCGCGTTATCAAATAATATTCTATGATTTTGTTTTATGAATTTGACTTGTGGCATACAACAAAAAAATTATCTATTTCCAATGTGTAGTGTAAGAAAAAAAGGTCTTGTAGGGCCTGTCCTTTTTAATTGAATTTCTTGCACCATTCATTTATTTTCTTTTTCTTTTTAACAGAAAGAAAAAAAAGAAAGAGATGAATGGTACAAAAAAAAGTTCAACTAAAAAGACATAGTTATAAACCGATATAATTGCTGTGAGAAAACGGTCGTCTTAATATATTGCGAGGTCTTTTCTTTAAGTCTATTTATTTCTTGCAGACGATGTTCTGACACAACTGTCGAACCGAACGGAATACGCACATTTATTCGCCGCAAATAACGAAAACTCGAAGAAGACCATTTGAAAGTGTCTTTTAGAGCCTGATAGTTCTTCTAGGGAACATCGAGGCAAACCTTTCCTTAGTCCCATCTGCTCCACTTCTGTATGAGAAACGTATCCAAGGTGCTTCAAGGATTATAAAACAAAACTATTTTGTCGTCTACGGAAGCTGCAGTTGCATGTAAGCGGCAATTTAGACAGCTAGCCCGTGTTTTTCCTATAATCTCATAAATTAGAAAAAGTTGAGAATTTAGCGGCTTAGAATTTTAGGAAACTAAAATTCTAAGATTTGAGGATTCTAAATGATCTTAGATTTGATAATCCGTGAGTAATTTAGTTACAAAGGTCCTAGAATCTCAGCGGATATGAAAATCCAAAGATACGCGACTTATGCTAGATTCCGAGAATTTAAAGACTCGAGGATTCCACGATCTAGAAGTCGAAAACTATAGATACCGAGACTTGAAGATTGAAAGATCCTGTGATCAAAAGTTTGGAAAATGGAAAGCCTAAGGATCTGAAGAAACAATAACCATCTTAGTAATTGTACATTTGAAGATAAATTAGAATATAGAGGTTCGAGGATCCTGTAAGGCTTATTTCCAATTGAAGATCTACGAGTGTCAAATTACGGAAAAGGAAATCGATGCTTGCACTTTTTGATGTACAGTACACATTATATAGCATACAGTTAAGTAATCCAATCATTAAGCTTCTTATTAATTCAAATGAAGTATCCATGACTTGGGGCTTGGACGCGCATTTAGAGAAAAATGAGGACAGGTAACGACACAATTTATTTTTTTTTTACCTAATGGTCCGACACCGCGATATTCGGTGCACATGTACAGACATGCGATTATGCACAAGAATATACATATGCGCTAAATTGTGTACATACTTGTTGCACACTATGAACCAGCATGTATGTAAACATATACACACACACACATGTGTAAGAGTAAACGAATCGATCGTGTATACCCTCTACGTATGCGCGCGCAAGTGCGTTCATGTGTGTATGTGTGTACGTATATATGTATATAGAAAGAAAATACGTGTATGTGTGCATAGTCAAAGCGATTAGCCACTTTGTAATATCAGTGTATGAACGAAATGGCCAAAGTTTAACAGCGCGCATTAGCGGTCATTCTGAGTTAAAAACAGATATGTTGAGTTATAGAACATTTTACTACGACATATATTGAAATAACAGTATTTATTGAACTGAAATTTTTGCTTTCAGTGCATTGAATTACTATACTTATCTTTTAGCCAAAGAAACCACTTAGATTTCATTAAATGGTTGGATATTATATAAATGTGATTATAACAATAATATATTCAAAGTAATGTTAAGTTTATTAATATCTTTGTAACTATTAAAAAAGTCTGTTAGGGACATTGTGACATGCCTATTAGACTGACAATAGGTAATACAAGTTTTTAGCACAAACTAAAAACTACGTAGACGAAACTCAATAACTTATACAGCGATGTAAAAAATAAATGCAGCGGTGGCGGGTAAAGGATTTGCAAATCTAATATAAAGATGTAAAATTTTTAAACGTATGAATAAGAAATTTAGAGATATAAATTGTTTAGGTTCACAGTTTCCATGATACTTGGCAAACGTGTAAAAGATTCGTTTTCGTTGTTCCCTTTTCCATCCATCTGATAATTTAGGTAAATAAAAAATGCAAGCAGTATTTATATATTGACGCTTTATTAACACGTAGCTTGACTCAAGATATACTTAAGAATATTACAATCGCGTGACTTCGGAGTTATTGATAGCCCGTAATTTTCCATCGGAATGACTAGACCGTCGATGTCTGACTTGCGCATGGATCGGCGGAACATATCCTGCCTCGTCGGCGCGTTTATGTTTATCTAACTGAATGAATCGCGAACCAGGTCCACCGCCACCGCCATCCAAGCACTCGCAGCTCAGACTCGCCTGATCGAGGTCGCCCTGATACGGTCCCGGCGGAATCAGCAAGCTCTCCGTCGACTTGGTCGGCTGAAAATGTCGGCTGACCGTCGAACTCGTAGTTGTGGAGTATGCAGTGCTGCCGCTGGCGCCGCTGCTCTTTCGTTGCACGGTACCGATCGGCGTCTTTGATCTGCCGGTACCGCTGCTGTGCGACCCTTTACCAGGACGCTCCGCGCTATGAGTCTTGATGGTTACAGTATCCAGATAACCGTAACCAAAGCCGTAACCTCCGAAGGCTTTGGTGGTCAGATTATCCCAAGATTTAGGCTTAGCGTACTGAAGGCATGGCGGTGGTCGCTGGTGCACACTCGGATCCCAGTACAGAGTGTCAGTACTGAGGCTAGTGGAGCAGGAGGCGACGCTATCGGCTGTTGAGACGTCGCTACTGGTAATTGAATGAAGACTATGACCGGATGTGCGAGAGCAACTATGAGTATTAGGCTGCGATTGTTGCTGCGACTGTTGGTCTCGTTGTCCTTGAACATGGTGATGCTGCATATTAGCCTGCTGTTGTTGCTGCTGCTGTTGCTGCTGCTGCTGCTGCTGCTGTTGATGGAGAGCCTGTTCATTGCGAGCACGTCGTTGTTTCTCGCGACGTCGACGACTAGGAACGCAATTTGGATCACAACAGGGGCTGGCAAGATCATAAGCATCTAGACTGACACTGTCAGATTGCTCTCGGCGACGATTTGCGCTGGAGATGCAAGCGACGCAGAGATTATTTTGCGGAGTCGAATGGAGTGATTGTCCTTCACCAGCAGTGGATGATTGCTGTTGTTGCTGGCAGGACTGCTTGTGAGATTTGCTCTTCGCAGGTGTACCCATCATACCATTTGACTGGTGGTAACTGTGACGCAAGGAAGTCATCGCAGATTCGCTCGACATCTTCGAGAGGAAGTGATGATGATCGCTACGAGAACGAGGCGGTCCTACTGTTACGAGGCAAGCGGCGCTACGTGGTATAAGACATGATCGCCCATCCGCAAACTGAAAAAAGTTTGATTATTTAAATAGCGATAATGAAGAAATTATAAAATCTTATCGTTGTTTGATTTGGAATTACGAAAATTATTACAGAATGTTTATAAACTTTACTGTATGTGTATCGATATTTTAATTCTTATTACAGATAAATATAGATAGCGGCTATTACGTTATAAAGAAGAAGATGTTCGGTGGAGGTTGCTGGCCGGCAGCATTGAATCGTGGAAGAGTTGAAGCTAGAAGAGGGCGATGGTTGATTGGGATTAGTGCCGATGCTGTTAGGCGTTCTTTTGCGCGCTGGCAGTGAATGAGTTTTCCATCGTCCCATTAGAATAGACCGTTCTCTTTCGCATAGTCTCTCCAATTCGCTCAGACGAGATTGAAGAGCGCGTTGTAACTCGATGTAACGCATATGTAATTCCACCTGGAATCGTCAGTACATTTAATTTATCAAAATTCAGTTACATTGTTGTCGGATTAAAAAGGATCGCGTTAAAATTGCAAGATTATGAAAACTGTCAACGACAATCGGGCTTTCGCTCACTTTTCTAACGCAATCTTCGAAGGATACGACCATTCGCATTCTGGTATCACAGTTCTTGATAAAGTTCACTAGCGTCTTGTGATCGGCTCTGTCCATCTCATGGCCATTTATAGATAGTATTACGTCACCTTCTCGCATACCAGCTTTGAATGCAGGTCCATCATATTCCACGTAATCCACGTAAGTTACCATTTCTATTTCCTGTTCTCTCTTGTAATGTATTCCGTAGCTCTGTGAAATCGATCAAGATTTAATTATTTTATATATATATATATATATATATATTAGGTGTTGGAATTAATTCGTAGCGTTTTTAATGAAAGAATATATGTTGAGACACTCGAAAGGCATTTGTAAATAAAATACAATTAAAATACGTAAAATATTGATAAATAAAATATAATTTTTTTTTTAGTTTTTCAGATTTTAATCCATATTTTAATAGAATAGAATACGAGCAGTCGTAGACTCCATTAGAAAGATCGAGGTCGAGATATCATGTTTATTATCCGAGTAAAGTAACAAATCAGCATCACCTGTAATGTGAAACCATACGTGCCGTTCTTCTTCTCGACAATGATCGTCCGGCGACGTCTATCTTCATCAGCACGCGCAACTCTATCAGACTTGGTTCTCTCGAGAACAGCCTGAGAAGAAAAGAAATGCTTATCTGTAAGATTATAATACATTTAAGTCTATTTTATACATCTTTATAACTTATTGGCTAAATGAAAAGAAGTATAAGAAGTATCGTCATATTTGATGATTGAAACAAAAATTGTGCGATCTCTAAAAATGGTAATGGAAGGGTCAATTTAAAAATTAAATGAACGGATCAGGTCGATGATACTAGTACAATTAACAATTCCTCCATTTTCTTTTCGGTGTTGTTGGATAACCGCGAGGTGTGAGGGAAAGCAGACAAAAGCAAGGTAATTACACATTCGACGACGCCGCTCCATTCCTCCTCGTCGCTGTTATCGACACCGGCTGTCCGCCGTTGTCCGGTGCCGGTGGTGTTCGTGTTCTGCGGCGAGCTGTTCATGATCGCGCGAAGATGTCCGTGAGCATCTAGGTTGTCGCCGGGGTGCCATCAACACCTCGGTCAGGCGTCTCCACCGAGATCGGCGAGGGGTTAACACGCGTCCCGACGCCGCACGACGCCGCGACGGCACATCTTTGTCATGGAGCCGTTTAGCCCGACTGTCTTACACGTTGTTCATCGCGCAGACGCGACAATATCGGCCTAGCACCCCGCAGGGTGGTAAGGGGTTGGCGGGGATGCGAGCGGTGGTGTCGTCGACCGGGCCTCCCTTCCTCCTGTAGTCGCATCCCTTTGGTTTCATCACGGCGCCCTCCGCGATATTAGACAGGAATAAACGGAGATTTAAATACGCAGGAGCGAACGTACTCAATGTTAATAGATGAGGATCGAAACGATGCGATAATTATTGATTAGCTGAAAGCTTTTGCTGTCTTGATTTTTGAATTTTTTATCCATTTTTAGGAACGTTAATTCTGCACTGTCCTCTACTCATGTTGAATATTTGATATTTGACCGGACACAATTACAAGTCCGTTCTTCTTTAATAATGCAACCACATTTTATAACGGTTTCTTTGCTCTTGACGATATCTTGTGTACCGTGACAAAATGGAAGACATTTATCTTTCTTGATATTCTCCAGCCGTTCTTTTCGCCGACGTTCATCGGCACTAAAATAGCGAATCCTTGCAGCTTCTCCGCTGCCGTTGCCAGACTTGGGAGAACACACGCATTGTATCTGTCGTCTATCGGAAGCGGAAACGACTCTCTTACATTGATAGACAGGACTATCGTCCACACCTTTGAAAAGGTAGGGTTCCTTGTTGCGAGGAAGCTGAAATTGCGTCACGATCTTCTTGCCGAAACACGAAGCACGGATGAAAACTGTGACTTCGCCTATATGTTGTCCTGTCGCTGTGGTAATTTTAAAAGCGTTCTTTATCGTTCTGCACGGATTACTGTGCTGAGAAGTGTACATGGTCAGCAGAGAGTTCATAAGGCCATGAAGTTGAATCTGGTGAGTGCCTGTGTCAAAGAATATATATATATATATATGTCTTTATTTGGATGAAATTTCAATTCCTTGATTCGAATGTAAGGATATTAAAGAAAAGTAGTAAAGCAGAGCAAGTAAAAATTCACAGACCAATTAACATCACGTCCGGCAAAACTCCTGGCGGTAGTTCTTTGTAAACGGACATTGTTATGGGAAAGTTGCACAATGGTTTCTGTAGGACATTGTCTGAAAGAGCAAATAAACAGGATTTGCCCTTTTTAAAGACTTGCGGACCATTCTGCGTACAGGCACAAGCTTCTGTTGGCGATTCTTGATAAATATTGATAGGAGGCAAGTTCAATATCTATAATTATTTTTACAATATTAGTGAATTAATAAACGAATTAATAAATATAAAGTTTTTACTTGAAATGAGACGCATGTTTTTGCCAACAATATTTCATCGTAGATCGCCCGTATTGTAGAAATATTCACTGTATCGACTAATAATTCTATCAAAATCAATAGTTCCCCTTCCATTAGTTTCTTTTTCTGCCATATATTTCTATGTAAGAGATTGCAATGAATATAAAACAAATTATTTATACTATTTTTAAAATTTTTATTTTATGTTTACTCGTCTTTTTAATGAAAATACAATAAATTGAATTTTCGTTAATTATAGAACATACTTTAGCAATTTTTATTTAATTATTATTTATGTTTACTCTAATTAATTTTGAATGTCATTGAGGATACAAAATAATTTAGGTTGACAATTATACAAGTTACTGAAGTAAATTACTAGTTCGAAGTTTTAAAGCTAAGTTCTCGATATTAGGAGAATATAACGCGCAAAAGTAAAACAATTTATTTAATTCGATTTCAAATTTCATCAAATTTATTTCGATTTATATCATTTTTATCTTATTTATATCTGCAATGATATTTTTTTTTTGGCAATGTTTAGTAAAAGAAAAAATTTAATAAATAATTAAATAATAAAATAATAATTAAAAAATAATTAAATAAAAAATTAAATTAAATTAAATTTAAAAATAATTACATAATTAAATAAGTAATTAAATAACAAATTTAAATAAAAATATAAATAATAAAAAATAAAAATTTAAATAATAAAAAATTTAATAAAAGAAAAAATCTAAAAAATTTAAATGTAAATACATGTTTATTACACAACAGTTGTATCAACAAACAAATGTATTAAAATCGAAAATTGACAATAAGAAAAGATATCGCTACAAAATTAATTCCTTAGATTTGTGCTTAGAATATTACGCTTATAAAAACTTGACTCTTGAATTTAAATAAAGAAGCGTTTCATTTTTTCTTCTTAATCTTCTTCTTAACCTCTTTCGGCAGTGCTCTTTTTTCTTTCGGCAATGCTTTTTTCTTTTCCTCTGTCTGCACATCTCTGGTCTCGTATCTAATCGGGGGCCTTCTGTCAGGTCCTTTCGGGGTTTTCATCTCTAGCTGTATGTCAGATTTCTCGCCAACTCCAACGAGGCCCTTCTTACCGATTCTCAAGACAAAAATATCATGGTCAGGATCAGATGGCTCGCCTGGTTTTGCAATAGACTCTGCGGCAACTGTTACTGTAGGTTTCTTTCTCTCAGGATCGTCACCATTGCCGAAGAGACCGGATACTTTAAGAACTATCGGCTTGCCGCAAGGCTGAAATGAATCACGATATTGAACAGAGCCTTTTGATGACTGAAAAATCAGAACTGAGCTTAGATGTCTAATCGAGGAATTATTTCTTAATTTTCTAAGTACATACTATATCCTTTAATTTTCTTTCAACCATCCCATCGATTCTTTTTTTTCTCATTTTCTCACTCCTCTTTTCAACAGCTTCTAATTTCCCACACGGTATACAAGGATACTTCTCTGGTATGCACACAGGACAAGTTATCGGTCTTTGAAGATCTTCGCAGAAATTTTCGAAAATATCAAGAATACGAGAGTCCACTTCACGACATTTGTACAATAAAATCTGATCAGCTTCTCCAGCGCCGAAAATAAATGTTGCAGGATCTTGTGCGATTGGTGCGTCAAATTCTGTGACAATCATCTGTCCGAGACCAGAGATTCTTACAAAAATATCCAGATTGCCCGACAAGTTACCATTATAAAGCAATGGCACTTGATCCTCAAACTCTTTGGATGTTGTAACATTATTTTTCCAGTCCTGTATCATCTCTATTCGCAAAGCCGCATACTGGCCGGACAAATCCAGCTCGCCAGTTCCTACTAAGACATCCGGTTTGATGGCGTCTGGCATCTGCTTCTTCACCGTCAATTTTAGGATCATTTTTGCAGCGCGGTTCATAGCCGCCTCAGAATTGATAGCGAACAGTACTGATTTTCCAACATTAAACACTTCAACTTCATTAATGATGCCTACCTGCGGTTGGAAAAGAGGATCTACCGGAGTGATCACTAGATCATTCTCATTTACGAAATCGAGGAATCCAAAATGGACGCTGGTAGGTACGAAAAACATCTGATTCAACTTGGTTAGGCGGTCGCCTGACGCCTGTTTAACGTATAATTCCAACAAAAGTAGGTAATGCTCCTTGCATACACTCGGGGAGGTTTGCTCATACACGAGCGTTTGGTTCTTTCCAGTTAACATTGTTGATTAAATATTTTTCAATATTACATAAGTAAGTTGCTCTTGTTGAACGATGGTTGGTTGGTTAATTTTAACTTGATTGCATAATAAATTTTTTCATTAAATGAACTATCTTTGAAATTGAATACTGTAATGCTAATATGTGGAAACTTCACTGGAGATAAATTTTAAATAGTGAGAAAATTTTGAAACATGATTGATCGAGAGATTATTGACAATGTTGACAGCTACGCTTGCCACTGACGTGTCAATGACTTGACACTGTTTCGTCTATCAAAGTTCAAGCTTCAAATAGGTCTTTTAAATGAAATGATTGACAGAAGAACGAACAAAAAAATAAGCATATTTATAATACAATTGATTTAATTAATAATTCATTACTGTTTACTGCAGATAGCAATTCGTGGATTTAGAAGAATGACGTAACTTCAGTGGAATTTAAAGTAAATATTAGGGTTACGTTTTGTATATTTTTAGAGCTCTCAAGCTACATTTATATACTTACGTTTTGAAAGATTTTAACTACTACTTTTAATTCAGTATAATTTCTATTTATTCTTGCAAAATCTTTATGTGGATACTTAATTAATTTCTTCTAATTTTAAATAGGATCTCTCAAAGATATCTTATATTTAAAATGTATTATTATACATATTTAATTACGTTAATTTTCAATTACAATTAATAAAATTGTTGACGAAAATGTAGAACAGAATACGAGCAATAGAGTTATCATTTTTATATAATTTTTCTGACACAGCAGCAAAACTGTTGCATGCGCTCTTATCATATTACTGGTATGATATTCCGGATATTTAATTTCAGACATGGTTGGCGTTCTCATGTGAAACCTCTAATTTGTGGATCATTTTGACTGTCTTTATCGTTTATACACAAGTTAATGCCTGCCTTTTTCGTGACCTTGCCTATAATATCCATCCGACCAATTATTCGTACGATCAATGTTCGATTGGACAAAATTACGGTCCCGCCATCGCCTTACTAAGTGAAGACAAATTAACATTCTAGACGGCTATGAAGTTGAACTAAAGTATGTAATTGGCCTATTCTGTGACCTTAAATAATCGAAATTAAAACATTTGATTATGAGTTTCTGATAAAATTACAAAGCGTTCATTGTGTGAAACGTTTCGGAATAATTTTCTATTAAATATGTATTTAAGAATATTTTTTTTGCAGGTAATACTATAACTATGCGAGTTTCTTCAAGGAGAATTATATCTAATCAGCACTACGCGCTCATTCTGAACAGTCTATGTATGGACGTTGATTATACAATATTTATATTGACGGTAATAGCAAGAATCATGAATCCCACGCGCTCGTGTTGCACACGCGATAATGAACGCGCGCGGTATACGTTGTTGAGGTCATCACGGATAACAGTACGTCACAATGGCGAACGTGACATAGGCTTGCCGAATTTCATCATGCGCCGGGTGCATTCAAATCGAGAAGTCAGCGAGCCACGTGCAGGCCAGACTTATTGTTAGACGTCTTCACGCGCCCGCCATTTCTGGCGCGTCACACGATACGGATTTAGGTGAGGGACGATGTGGAAGCTACAAGTTCACTTTTTTTTTTTCTTTTTTTTCAAGTTGTCTCGTTTAGTTCCATATACAACGAAACGATACTCTGAAAAAAATGTACTAAATGTACTTTTAATAAGTCATTTGTTTGAATAGTACTTAATATATAATAACTAATAATATCTAAATATTTAATAAATATAAAGATATATTTATATTTAGATACAAAAACCATTAATTTGACTTAACTATCCTCTTTTTATTGAGTAAATAGTTACTGTAAGTTTAGTTTACTGTAAACGTTTAGTTGATACTATTCAAATAAATATTTATTAAAATTTAGTACACATTTTTTTCTCAGTGCAAATCGTTTTGACGATTAGATGAAATAGAAGACTTGATATTTCCTGAAAGGTCCTATAAAAATATAGCGCGATTATAAAAATATAATGTACTACTCGAGATACTCGAGAGACTGAGGATCATAATTTTGCAGGTAACAGTGGTTTTGTGTAAACCTCGGATTTGCGCCGCTCGCGAAGTTCCAAAGGCCGATCGGCGGGAATCGATAACGGTGGCCGAACGACGACCTCTGCCCTAAAGCCTCGGAAGATGGCGATGGCGGCGGTGGCGAAGACACGGTGGTGAAGGAGGCGGTGTGGCGGTGGAAAGTAGCCAAGTAATGAAGTCGCGGCGGCAGTCGGCCGCGGTCTTTTGAACGATTCGTGGAACTATATAAGTACCGTATGAGAACAGCGCGCTCCGAAACTCGCGCCCATCAGACGATCCTGTACTCAGGAATGAGGTAACCGCCGGCGAGACGGGCTTGATTCTTAGGCATTCGCAACACGTAGAAACTATCATCGGCGAACTACTTGGCAGGTGAGCGTCACGTTCTTTCGATCGATTCTTCGATTTCTGCCTGTAGGTTGTGCCACGAGAACTTTGTCTGTATCCTGGGTCTTTCCCGCGTCGATATTTTCGGATCATCATTCATGCGCATGAGATCTTAACTGTGATAAATTTGTGGAATATTAGGATTTCAGGACAAAAAAAGTAAAGTATGTCACATTAAAAAAAGATATAGTAGTTGCGTATATATATACACTCACACATACATATTTCTTATCTATAAGGAAATAGAAATTTTATTCTATTCTATTTTTATTTTTTCTTATAGATAAAAAATATGTATGTGTGCGAGTGTATATATGGATACATACACACAAAATTAAGAAAAATAAAAATGTAGTTACGAAAATGAATAATTATAAAAATTAAGTTAAATATTTTTGTTAAAATAAAAATTATTTTCCGTTTCTCATATTTGTTCAAGTCTGCAAGTTTATGGAATATGTTGTATAATATATAGTATTATATGTTATTGTTAGTGCACAATATATAGTGTTATAAATCATTATTACTGTAATGCTATAATCATTTTTAACATTATCGTTACGCAATATCACAATTAAATAGAAGATCATCAATTTGCCTATATCTCAAGTATTTCCCGATGTCACTAAGATGAGTCACGCGTACGAGTATAATATTTCCTTGAACGTAGCAGCTGCTCGTGAAAGAAACCACATAAAGTACTTCTATGGTCATGTTCGCAACTTCTATGGCCATGGCGCTTTATCATTATACCAGTACATTTGCATGATGTAACGGCGTACTGATGTTTCGGACGGTCGCCGGCAGCCGCTCGCGCGTATTTCTTCCACGATATAGTCATAGAAAAGACGGCGTTATCGCTGCGCAAATTTATCGAAACGCAATAAGCTGACACAGGTGTGAGACTATAGACGTATCGGATGTACAGACGGGAAGGGAAGATAAGTTGACTTTTGAGGCAAGTAGCGGCTTTCGGAATCGAGTAATAAACCAGTTATGGATTCTACGATTAAAATTCGTAGTATATCACGCTTCTACGAAGGATGATGTTTATCATCAGATTCTCTCAGAATTGCTCAAAATGTAAATCTTTTCGAATTGGGTATACTTCTCGAATACGGATGCCAATATTTTGCAATTATAATACGTTAACACATTCTTTAACGTGTGAAATATCACGCCAACGTGATGTAGACCATTCACAATGACTGATTCAAAGAAAATTGCTGATTTGTAACATCTGAAATGGCAATTTCAAAATTGATATTACGTTTTTGTAGGAAGATACACTTGGACATTCATTCTAGGAAGTTAAGTCCAATAGCGAAAAGTTTTTGCGTGTATGATTTGTCCTATAAATGCCAAGTCGGCATTCATCGAATATATTATATTTAGCGACTTCCTACAGGTATCTTTAGCCCCCTAAGTATCTCATATCATTTCAATATTGCCTATCCTGAAATTTCTCGCGATTTTCTTAAATGTTTTATTGTTTGAACTTTTATAATTTTAATGGAAATAAAATAGGAAGTTTTTGCATATTTTCAATACCGTTTATCCAGATACGATGAATGTTAAAGTCAGATTATCTTCTTCTTAACAACTAATTAAGAAAAAGATAACATGACTTTAGCGTTTACCATATTTGAATCACGTTATTGCAAAAACTCCCTAACGACTATTACTAGCTATTATATAATAACGAATTCGGTTGGAATTATGCTCTAGTGCGTACCAGTGTGTATTAAAGTCGCGTGCAAATATTTCAAATTATAAAATATAGATTTTACTTTAACAGCACAATAAAATATATTGAGGATTTCATAATTTAATTCATTTTTGTATTTATATTAAACACACATTTTTATATCAATCTGTGCAATGGTTTTAATGTGCACCAGTGCACACCGAGTGCATCCAATCAAATTCGCTATTTGATCACATAAACATTTGATCACATCTGTCCATTATGAGAAAATATTGGGATAAATATTAGTTATTAATTGTAAATTCTCTCTCTCTCTCTCTCTCTCTCTCTCTCTCACACAGTCATTTGAGGACAAATAATGTATAGTTTATGCAATTTCAATACTGATCTGTGTTATTTCATCGACATAACTGCAGCGTCCGCCTTGTTTTCCACACTTAATTCGACGATTTATGAACCGTTTATCTTTGACCCGAGTATAATAAAATCAAAAGTTTTCAGTTATGGAGAACGCAACCCTTCAAGTGGTAACTTCTGATAAGATAGTCACCATATCAACTTGCATTTCTTCAACGACATTATTTGCAATTTGATGCGGTACTGTTGGGTTATCAATCAGTTCCTTAACGTGTGATATTATGTGCTTATTTTTTACGCTTTCAAGTAGAAATTTATTTTCAAGGGAAATTTATGTTATAGAAATGCCGTTTTATCTGTTTTTATTTTTAATTGTTTAAAATACAATTATTTTATTCATTATATAAATTTATTTAAAAACGTAAATGTTCAATATCGTATTCGCTGTTTTATTTTACCAAACCAACGTTACGTAACATTAGTATTCA